CATTACATTTGTAATAAGAAGGATCATAAATAGGTTCACCATCTGAAGCTGATAACTTCAGATTTAGAGGTAATGGAGTAACTGTATGTCTGGAGAGACCATTCCTGATTCAGCCAACAAATCTTTTGTAAACTTCTTTTGGGTCATAACAAAACCATCAGCAGACCTGGAGACTTCAATACCCAAGAAGTAACTGACCTCTCCCAAGTCCTTTATGCTAAAAACCTTGTGCAAATGTTGCTTTAGGTCTTGAATAATCTTCTCATCAAATCCTGTGACTAGGATATAATCAACATAGACTATCATCAATGTCAGATCAGTAGCAGAATTCTTTATGAACAATGAGTAATCATTTTTAGATTGGACAAACCCTTGAAAAAGAAGCTCTTAATTGAACCAATCTTGCAAACCATTGTCTAGAGGCTTGCTTAAGCCCATATAAGGAATTTTTCAGTCTGCAAACAACACCTTTAGGAGCAGTTAACCCCTCTGGGAATTTCATGTATACTTCTTCATTAAGATCTCCATGCAAAAAAGCATTATTCACATCTAGTTGAAAAACTTTCCAATTTTTACAGGCTGCCAAAGCTAAGATGCATCTGACTGTAGCCATCTTAACCACAGGAGAAAAAGTCTCAAGGAAATTAATACCATATTTCTGTGTATACCCCTTTGCAACAAGCCTAGCCTTGAACCTCTCTATGGAACCATCAGCTCTTCTCTTAATCTTGAACACCCATTTACACCCTATGGATTTCTTTCCAACAGGTAATTCCACTATATCCCAAGTATTATTATCTGCCAGAGCTTTCAACTCTTTATCCATGGCCAAAATCCAATCTGAAGATTTTGCAGCCTCAATATATGAACTTGGTTTTGTAACCAATTCTGATTGAGCAACCAAAGCTTGATGATGAGAAGAAACTTTGTCATAAAACACTAAGTTACACCAATGATCTGTCTGGTTTGTACTAGCCAAAGTGCACACAAACTTACTCATCCAGGCAGGTTTCTTAGTAGGTCTGGTAAACTTTCTAAGAACCTGTTCTGAGTCCAAACTCTGAGAATTTTGTATATTTGTAGAAGAAAGAGGAATAGAAGAAAAAACAGAAATTTGTGGGGTTTGAGAAATAAAAACATCAGGATTATTATCAATGATGATATCTGCAGGCAGAGTTTCAGAAGGAAGAAAAATTGGAAATATAGACTGTTTAGGAGAAGTAGAGGAAGGATTTAAATGAAAAGGAAAATGCCTCTCATGAAAGGTAACATCTCTAGACACATGTACAACTCCACTGTCCAAATTCATCACCTTATACCCCTTTTGTGTGGATGAATATCCCAAAAACACATGAGGTTCTGCTCTAACATCAAACTTACTCCTCCGTTGCTTTAAAGTAGACACAAAACACAAACATCCAAACACCCTTAGATGAGAAACATCAAGCTTAATGTTGTGTATCTTTTCATAAGGAGAAACATTCCCTAAACATTGTAGTGGCATTCTATTAATCACATAAGCAGCACATAGAACATATTCTCCCCAAAATTTTGCTGGAACATTTGAATGAAAAAATAATGCTCTAGCTGTCTCTAACAAATGCTTATGTTTTCTTTCTACTACACCATTTTGCTAAGGTGTATCTATACAACTAGTTTGATGTAGAATACCCTTTTCCAAATACAACTTCTTAGCATCACCTTCACAGAGTTCTAAGGCATTATCAGACCTAATACATTGAACGGTGGCATTATATTGAGTTTGAATGAAAGTAAGAAGATATTTAAGAACAGAAACTGCCTCAGATTTATATTTCAAAAGATGAACCCAAGTACATCTGGAAAAATCATCTACAATTGTCAAGAATATACAAAAATTATTGTATGTTTAAATTCTATGAGGTCCCCACATATCTATGTGTAAAAGATGAAAAGGAGCTGTACTTTTAATAGAAGAAGAAGAAAAAGATAACCTATGTTTCCTAGCCATAGGACAAACTTGACAAAAAGAATTATGAGAAAAATTAGATACATTTATTCTAGAGTCAACTAGCCTAAGTTGAGGAAATGGAGATGCTGAAGCAACATTAGCAATCTTCACTTTATTCAACTTGGAAAGAAAACCGGACTCTTCTGGAACCTTGGCTGGAACACAGTACAAACCTTCCTTCAGATCACCAAGATGCATTCTCATTGAATGATCCTGAACAAAACACTTATTAGCAGAGAAAACCACTTCACACTTCATATCTTCACACAACTTGGGAACAGAAATCAAGTTAAACTTGAAACCAGGAACAAACAGAACATCATTCAGTTTTATTCCATTCAACTCTACAGTCCCTATATGAGAAACTGAGACCTTACTACCATCAGGAATAGTATTGGAATGCAAACCAGGAGAAACAACTTTATAAGATGTGAAATATTTCAAATCACAAGTCATATGATCTGTGGCACCACTGTCCACCACCCAATCAGAAAAGAAAGCTGAAACCAAACAAATTTTACCTGCAATAAGAGCAGAACCATTGTTGATTCCATTGTAAGAACTAGGAGCAGAATCTCTTGCAACAAAACCCTCTAACTGAGATGTAGTTGACTTGTCTGCATACTCCATAAACTGATTATATTGCTCCCTTGAGACAGTAACAACATCAGCACTACCATCACCTTCATCTGCTTGAGCCAAATTGGCAAATCTCTTTCCATTAACATTGAAAGGCTTAGTATTAGCTTTGAAATCCTGTGGATAATCAATAATCTTGAAGCATCGATCAATAGTATGGCCTACCATCTTACAATGTTCACAAAAAAACTGAGATCTTCTATTATCAGAATTCATCACAGATTTCCCCTTATATCTATCATTAAAACCTCCTTTAACAAAACTAGAATTCTGATTATTCTGGAAACCATAACCTCTGTTGGCTTGATGTTCAAAATTCCTGTTACCGCCATAATTCCTTTTCTCAGCTGCAAAAGCATGTGAAACTGTGTTACCAGATTGCATACGATCAACTACAGACTTGTGCCTTTCTTCTTGAACCAGAAGTCTGTAAGCATGGTTAACTTCTACCAATGGTTGCATCAACAAGATATTTCCTCTAACCATAGCAAAATGATCATTCAACTTCATCAAAAATTGAATTAGCCTCTGACTATCTTTCTGTTTAACTAACTTCTGAGTAAGATTACAAACACAACCTCCACAACTACACACAGGCATAGGATTTACTGCATCTAATTCATCCCATAACATCTTCATTTTAGTAAAAAAACTCAGCAACACTAGATGTTCCTTGTTGAAGATCAACTAACTGTTGTTGCAAAGCAAACAACTAAGGTCCAGAAGATTGTGCATACCTTTCTTCCAGATTCTGCCAAATCTCTCTAGCAGTTGTGAAATATAACACACTCCGAGCCAACATAGGATCAAGAGCACTCAAAATCCAACTAATAACCAAATCATTACAACGCTTCCAAGCACCATAAACCGAATCACTAGGATTAGGCAAATCAATTGTTCCGTCAATAAAACCAAGCTTATTTTTAGCAGATAAACCTATCATCATTAACCTCTTCCAATCGTTAAAACCTGTTCCATCAAATTTGATTGGAACCGACGCCATTTTTAAGCTATCATTCGGATGAATGAAATAAGGAGAAGTAGGATCCTGAGTAGGATCTTGAGGAGAGGTAGAAGATGCCGCCATTATCAAAGAAGAAATCTCAAGCAAAATTCAATTATCAAATCAAACGATTCAGACAAATCAAATTCAAGAAATCCAATTCAATCAACTACAAATAATTCTCAAGAATCACCAAAAAACAATCAAATATCAACAATCAAACCAAGAATCGCGCAACCAAAAAACACATGCACAATCACCAGAAAAACGAATCAACAAATTCCTCAAAAAACAACAAAAAAAAACTCCAGAAAAACTCCGAAGAACTATCAACAAAATCCAGAAACACTTACAAACAGAGACGGCGATTTTTCGCCATTAACGAATTTCGCGGCTCTGATACCATGTTAACATTTGAGGTAGTTTGCAGAAGAAAACTAAGAATTACAAGTGGAGAGAGAAATCTAGAGAGAAAGAGGAAGTTAAGGGAATTAATTTTTGTATTAATGAGAATAAAATGAAATGTACAGGGGAGTTACATATATATAGCTAAATTATTACAGCTATTATTTTCTAACAGAATCTCTAACTGATTCTAAAGTTGTTGTGGGCCTGTAACAACTTTGCTAACTTGTACTGCTGACGTGGCATCCATCACCACTAGTATTCACAAACATAAATTAATTTTGTTAAACTGAAATTAATTTTTATTGTTTTATGTTATATTTCGTCTTTAAAGTTACTAATTTCTATTAACTGATTTTATTTTTACCGAATTGAACTTATTTTTATAAGACTGGAATTATTTCGACTAAATATATATATTTTTTTAAAAAGTAAAGTGAACAGGCATAAATAAAGGTGTAGACGTATAGTAGCTATCAGCAGATTGAAGAGTTAGGCCTCGGGAGCCTTTGGCCTTGTATGAATGAAAACAGAGAGCGTTGCGGGTCAAGTAGGGTAATCATGAGTTCTGATACTGAATTTTGGTCAGTTAAAAGCGATCCTCTCTCCCATTCTTTGATGATGATGGCAAATTGGCAACTATTTATAGTTTTATACCATCATTTAATACTTCCTTCATATTTTAATTTCTTTTGACTAAAACATGTGCTAATGCATAATAAAATGTTGTTAATATAAAACTATTAATATTTTTCATTGTCTTAAAATATTGTTAATATAAAATTTTCATTGTGAGTGATGTAGTTAAATTCTACATAATAGTACTTGTATTCAATATCCCCTCTCTCCTTTAGGGTTTTAGTTTCTTGACCGTTTAGGACCAAAATAGTCTAATTTCTTGTATATATATATATATATATATATATATATATATATATATATATATATATAGAAATAGGATCATATGAGACCACACCCCTTATGTGAGAACACTATTATATGTGAGAACTCATTATAACCATTGGATCAATTGCATCCAACGGTCACAATACAATCCCGGTTTAAACAAAACCATTTTATTTCAAAACACTTTCTGCATTTTTTCTCTCTCCTCCTTCCTCTTTCACGCGCAATTTCTCTCTCCTCATTCAATTTCATTCGGTTTTCTTCTCTCTTTCTCTCTGAAATTTCATCACAACTTCTCCAATCTTCATCAATTGTTCGTCAATGTAAGTTTATTGTTTATTTTTTGCTGTTTTCCAATTAATTTTTAGGTTACATTCATTGTTTATCTTCATTTTGATTTTTGTTTTATTTGTGCTGATTTCATCTCACTAATTTTAGGTTACTTTGTGTCGATTATGTTTTAGTGTTTTTTTTTTTTTTTTTTTTTGTTGATTTTAGTTTTTTTTTTTTCATTTTTTGAGTAATTATCAAGTTCATTTTAGTTTATTTTTCCTGAATTTAGGTTTTAACATGTATTCTTATTTTGGTTATGTATTTTCGAAATTATGTTGTGGTTTTGTTGCGATTTTTGCTCGATTTTGTTGCGATTATGTTGTAGTTTTGGTTTGGTTGTGAGTGCTGTTAAAGCTAGTATAAAGCTTCCTTCGAACATTCAAGGTAATCCAAACAGTTAAACCCCTGTTTTACTTGTGAATTCTGATTCGAAAAATTTGCAACAGGAATTGAGGATGCACGTAAACTGTTCGATAAAATGTCTAAGTGAAAAGCTAAATGTAATGCAGTAGATATCAGGTTGGGGGAGACAATGGGAGGTCTGCTTTGTTAAATATTCAATGAGTGTGCTATAAAAGGAGTCATAATTTGAGTAGAATTTTGATGTTAGGACGGCTTTGTGATATTTAAACTCGTAATCCCCGCATTTATAAATATTACTCCGTATTTACATTACTCACTGTAGTCACATTTACTATTATCGCCTTTACTCTCTGAATACAAGTTTCTGACTTGCTATTATTGATCTCAATAATATGATATTGAGAATGATTCTTTGATTAGTGCTGTCTTTCTTGCTACAAATGCGTTCTAGGCTTCTAGCCTCTTTTTATAATTAAATTTTAGTACTAAAATCTAATCTAAGGCTGTCTACCTTGTTCCTATTGATATTGTTTGAAAAAGCTGTGCTAAGCAATGGTCTTCTGTTTTAGAAAATTTTGAGGTTTGACTACTTATATCTAGTTTAATGGCTGACTTTAAACATTTGGGTAATTATTGCTGTGTTAATTTTCAACTCCTTACTTATCTCATCTGCACCCCCCCCCTCGCCCTCTTTTTTTTACCTTTCCTCTTTGCTAGAATCTTCTTCCCCATCAATAGATGATGCTTTGAAGGCGTTCCTATCAAGGTCAGCTTCCAGCAACTCCTTGTCTGCCTCTGGGAAGGCTTCTGACCAGCCCAAGCGAACACTTGTATCAAGTGCTGAGATGGAAGCTATACTGGTACAACATGTTGTTCTGAAATGAAACCTTTTTATCTTTTGACTCCCCTTCCCTTCTGAACTCTTTGAAATCTCAACTTCATGTTTTCCTAACTACTTTGCGTTCTCTTTTGCCCTCCTTTTATTTTTCTTTGCAGTTGGGTGGCTGCGTTTAATCTCATTGAAGTATTCAATGGCTATGTCTCATGATAACATTTTGGTGAAAAAATTGGTATTGGATTTCTTTAAACATATTGTTGCTACTGTTTCAACCTTGGTAAAGATTAAAGAAGAGACAACATAGGTAGGACTGGTCAAACCAATTGGTGTATACCATACCACTTATTGATATACCATATATTGAATGGAATTTATACTATTATTGCAATTATTTCAAATTGTGAGACGGTTAAATAATTGCTTAGAAAATTAGCATGATTTCTTGAGCTATTCTACTTGACATCGTAATTTGATGAGGTCTTTTGCTGTTCATGCTATAAGGAAGCCTGCAGAACTTCTTGATGTAAAGTCCGTGCTGCGAGATATGAGCAAATGATTTTTTGCTCATTTAGCAAATGAGCATATAATTTTTTGCTCATTTATCAAATGAGCAAACAGTTATTTGTTCATTTAAATGAGCATTAAATAATGTAGTGTTTGAACTGTTTTTAATACAATTACTAACTAATTTGAGTGTTTTTCAGGTTAAATTGTTGAAATTGAAGTTGTTAAAGTTGAGGTTGCAAGAAATTGTAGTTTTGCAAAATTCAAGGTATGTGATTGAAATTGATTTTTTTATAGAAAAAAAAAACAAAAAAAAAATTCTGAATTTTGCTATAATTTGTTCATAGGTAAACATTGCGATTATGTTCGAGTTAGTATATAAAATCCAGTTGATTGTGGGCTTATATTAGTGATTATGAGCTATGTACCTTAAGATTGAGAGGAATGTTATAATATAAGTCCAGTATTAGGGAAGTATGTTACTATATACTATCTTATTATCCCCATCCATGATCAATTGCTTTTGGAATTATCTATATATCTTGCTTACAAATTGATTTAAGTTGAACAGTTATTGCTTTTTGTATTTTCTAAAAGTAGATAGAAAATTAGTAAAAGTAAACCAATTAGTCTCAAAAGTATTATGTTTATCAATTGTTAAAACGACATTTAGAGATTATCGACTTTTGTTTTCGGGAACTTTGTACACTTGGAAAGTCTTATTTTTCTAATGAGACTTTTACAACCAGTTTTGCTCCAACTAGTGCTTCATATATACAGATCCTCTTCACAGGTTTTTCTTCAACTATTTGTGCTTATTATTGTGCTAATGAGAGTTGTATTTATGAAATTGCTACTAGTTGGAACTCTTATTTTGCTATTATTTATAATATGTTGCTTCAGTTTTGCTCTATAATAGTTGGAAGCAAGTGATTTGTCTGGTAGTTCTTTGGAGAACAATCCTCATAGTTTTAGAGACAATTAAACTCAACCTAACAGCACAAATGAGGGCAATGAATGTACCAAATGGTCCTCAGATTGAGGTCCTTGATGGTGCTCAATTAAAAAAATGAGCTTGCAAATGAGATCCTAAATGATGCTCAAGAGGATGAGTCTGCAAACGAGATCCTTGCTGGGACTTGTGAACAAAGTGATGTTGAAGGAAATGTTGATGTCGGTCCATCTACTGATGTAAATCAATTGAGAGAAGGTAGTGAATGCACTAATTTACATCAACTGAAAGTTCAAGCTAAAATCACGCTAGAACTCGCCTCATATGGGGAGAATAGATCAGAGACAGTTACTAGTGGGCTTGTTGTAGGTTCTTCAAAAGAGGGCTACTTGCTGATGAATTCTCAGGAACCTTCAAGAGGTGGAAGTGAGGAGCTTATTGATTTAGAAGAAGCCCATGAAATGTCTCATCATTTTAACACTCACAAAGAAGATATTAACTTACTTAGTGAATTAGATGATGAAGTCCATGTATCTGAAGAGATAAATGGTCAAAGTATGTGTATATGTGCTTCTTCATTTATTTGTCTTTATAAATCAAGTTTTAATTACCTTATTGTTGGCTTAATAACGAACAATGAATTGCCAATATTATTAGCTTGAAGGGAGGCACTATAGGGTGTATTGTAGTTGTTACTACCTAAATGGAAAAGGCAGGACTACACTCTAGAAAGACGTTGTTTTCATTTTTTGTGTAGCATCAGATGTATAAGTAGGTGTCAGCTTAATGAAAGTAAATACTAGTAAAAAAAAATTTGTTCATTTGTTAAATGAGCATATAATTTTTTGCTCATTTATCAAATGAGCAAATAATTTTTTGCTCATCTATCAAATGAGAAAAAATGTGCAAATAATTTTTGCTCATTTATCAAATGAGCAAAAAAATTCAATGCTCTTTTGTCAAATGAGTAAACTATTTAATGCTCATTTATCAAATTAATGCTCATTTATGAGTGTGTTTGAATGTTTAAAATACGTTAGCCTACTAGCTCAAGGGTAGAGCATTGTGCAAATGCACAAAAGATGTGGGTTCGAATCCCACGTAGGTTCATTTACTATGTAATGTGGAGACACAAGTTTGTAGTATGAGCAAAGAAATGAGCAAACTACACTCAATTGGTCTAGAAACTCAGAAACCTAAAAGGGGTATATTTGGGGATATTAGAGAAAAATAATGGGTGGTTTTGAGAATTTGAGTAAGGTTTTAAATTGATATGCCATGTTTAAACATTACAGTTTCAGTTGCATATCCCCTGTTACAAGATTGGAGTTCCTACTCTTATTCCTCCAAGAATATCAAAATGGGGTTGCTGCAAGATTTGAGGCTCATGTAAAGGAATTAGTAGATAATTTGAAAAGTACTTCACTTGAAACTGTAAGAGAAGCTACTTCAGAGCTCAGGATTGCAGGCTAATAGGGTTCTTTAGCGTTTGATAAACCTACAAGCAGCTTATAATGCCGGATTGTATACCTGAAAAAATGCAAATGTCGTCTGTGATAACTTCTATTTATGAATTAGCTGAGGGATACATACATATTAATTTAGTTCTTCTGAGTGGTATAATCTTTTGTGGATATATAAAGGAAAAGTATTGAACAAAGCATAGTTGAGTAGAAAAGGAGAGATGATCAAGTTTATTTATTTATTTATTTATTTATTTATTATTTATTATTTTTATATAGTTATTTATAAATACAGCTTATGTAGGATTCGAACCTACATCATCTATGCATTTGCATAGTGCTCTACCACTTGAGCTAATAGGTTTTTGATATAGATCAACACCCTCTCATAAAAGCAGAGGAAAACAATCGCATGTAGAAACTGAAATGCCTCCATTATTACTACAAAAGCCACCATAGCTCAAAAATTACCCAACACATGCTCACCCAACACAACTACTACCAGGTAGTATTATAAAGTAAATTAGTAACAAGTGAATATGCACCCCTTTAAACACACTTACACACACTCTTAATAATTAGAAGTGAAATCAGATTCTTAAATAAGATGTATACGGCCAGGAGCAAACTCACACACTTACACATACACTCTTACACTCACTCTCTCTCTCTCTCACACACACACACACAATAATTTCATAATCTAAAATTAGAACTGAAATCAGAACCACAAGCAAAAAGATGAGGGGGAAGGGGGATAGGTTTGTGGAGGGAAGTGGAAGAAGGGAGTATGGTTGGTGTGCAGGAAACAGACCAAGAAGAAGGGGGTGGGGCTTGTGCACGGGCAAGCAGACCAAAGAACTCAATGCTCATTTGTGAAATAAGCAAACAATTCTTTGATCTTTTGTCAAATGAGCAAATAATTGAATGCTTATTTGTCAAATGAGCAAATAACTCAATGCTCATTTGTGAAATTAGCAACTAAGTATTTGCTCATTTGAAAAATGAGCAACTAATTATTTGCTCATTTGACAAATGAGAAACTAACTTATTATCATTGCTCATCACATATTATCAAAACAAGCAGCTAAAGAAACTTATACATCGCATATTATCAAACTAACTTCTGTTTTTAGCACTCATTTTACATGGCAAACATCTAATTCTACCAACTACATTCTCCTTAAGCCGAGTAATCATTTTATCAGCATTAATAGTCCCTTGTTCAATTCCATATGATAGCATTCCTTAAACGACAAATAATTACCAAGCATTTTCTAACAAGCATTTTATCAAACACCTTGTATGCACTATCAGGATATCCAAAACATACTCATTGATAATTACCAATTGTTCAGTTAGTTGATCAATCTCTACCCTGACAATGAAATTGAGAACACTCAAAGTAAAAAAACCGAGCAAAAATTAGAAAGTCAAACTCGGATAACCAAAATTAAGAACATTCATATCAAAAATTTCCAGAATACTAAAATCGAAATTAAAAAATGTGAAACCCAAAATTTTGTAATCAAAATCGCACAATCTTGATTTAAAATTCAAATTAAATCATAGACAACAACGAAAATCAAAATTAAATTAACTTACAGTGCCTTAATAATTGATGCAATTCGAAATTTTCAGAGGAGTAATATCGAAATTGAAAAGTTGAACAAACCTTGATAATTATCGAGCCTTTAAATTCTTTAATCGAAGTTATTCGTACTTGTGAAGAAGAAGATGAAATCAAAATTGTCAAGCCTTCAAATGGATTAATCAGTCGCCATTGATAATTATGGAGCTTGGTTTTGCGGAGAGAAAAAATGAGAAAGTTGAAGCAGTTAAACAAGCTTTGTATTTTAATCTCGGCCATTGAATTTCATATAATCTAATGGCTAGTATTGGTTCTCACATAGATAAAGGTTCTCACATAAAGGGTGGTTCTCACCGGATCCTGACCCTATATATATATATGTATATATGTATATATATATTTATGTATATACATATATATATATGTATATACATATATATATATATATGTATATACATACATATATGTATATACATACATATATATATATATATATATAATATATATATATATATATATATACATACATATATATATATATATATATAAATATATATATATATATATACATACATATATATATATATATATATATATATATATATATATATATATATATAGTCTTTTTTTCTATCTTTTAAATTTTTTTTTTAAAAACTTATAGGGTACAACTCGGCTAATGAAATAATACTAAACTATCCGTCGTTAATAATATAGGCTTTGTTTCTTTTTTTATGTCTTTGCATCTT